GTAGACAGGTGGGGCTGGAAGTAAATTCAGAAAAAACTAAGTACATGTTAGTATCTCGTCATCAGCAGACAGGCGGGCAAAATTATCTTAGGGTAGCTAATAAATCCTTTGCAAGGGTTACAAAGTTCAAATATTTGGGAACAACAATAACAAATCAAAATGATACTTGTGAGGAATTTAGGAGGAGACTAAATTCCGGAAATGCTTGCTACTTCTCAGTCCAAGATATTTTGTTTTCCCGTTTGATTTCTAAGAACCTGAAAATTAAAGTATACAAAACAATAATTTTGCCTGTTGTTTTGTATGGGTGCGAAACATGGTCTCTCACTCAGAGGGAGGAACACAGATTGCGGGTGTTTGAGAATCGGGTGTTGAGGAGGATATTTGGGCCTAAGAGGGAAGACGATGGGGCGTGGAGAAACCTGCACAATGACGAGCTTAAAAATCTGTACTGCTCCCCCAGTATTGTGAGGGTGATTAAGTCGAGAAGAGTGAGATGGGCGGGACATGTAGCGCGCATGGATGGGACAAGAGGTGTGCACTGGGTATTGGTTGGGAAGCCTGAGGGGAAGAGACCGCTGGGGAGACCTAGACGTAGATGGGAGGATAATCTCAGGTGGGATCTATGGGAGATAGGAGTTGAAGGAAACTGGATTTTGTTGGCCCAGGACAGGGTTCGGTGGAGGGCTTTGGTTAATTCGGTGATGAACCTTCGGGTTCAGTAAGCCATCTAGTTAGTTAGCTTCAGTGAATATTATGAACTTAAAAATAGGGATTGACCTCCATCTCCACAAAACCTAACCAGGAGGGTCATTCCACATCAAATTAAACAGTGCTATCAGCCATGTCCACCAGTTTTAATGACTTTTAGTTTGAAGTAGATATCCATGAAATAAACGTTTTTCCAAAGAATCTGCTTTTTATTTTTACTAAATCCCTAGATATTAATAAAATTAGGCAGTTTTTAGCATGAGATAGACCATTATTCTTTTGCTCACAGTTGTTTTGATTTGTAGCTTGTTACTGCCATGATTTATTATTATTATTATTCTAATCCTCCAGTACATAGCATATTGATAGGTAATTATAAATTACAATTATGTAAGTTATGTAACTTACTATTTTTTAACAGTTCTGGAGGGGCATGAATGATAAATTCACAGTTCAAAGAGATAGAGCATGCCAACTGTGGGGCCATTAAATAGTTCTCCCTACCGCACTGTACCATGAGTGATCACAGTGCAGAAGGTGTCAGGAGTATTGCACCTTCTTGAAGTCTTATGATGTTTCCAGTTTAAGTAGGTTGTCTGACAACCAAGCTTTTCCATCTGTCTTCCCACAATTCCTCCTCAGTTTATTCCCATGGCCTCCTTTCCTTATGTGATATTTAAATTATAATAATATGCAAGAACTATGCTTATAAATTTGAAATTTGTAAGGCTGAATGTAATTATTACTATGTATTGATGGTGCCAGAGGGACAACTGTGAAAAAAATACTGTTCCATGTGACAATGTGAAGTATCCAGGAAGCTCCACTATGTGTGCACAATCTGCAAGAAACTGGTATGCACATTATGGTAAGTCCCTGTAATAGTGATGTGTGTCCAGTCAGATGCTAATTATTTTAAATGTTGCTTGGTAATTCAAAATGGAGAGGGCCATCTTGAATTTGCAAAATCACTGGCTAATGAACTTCCAAGCTTTTGTGTGCTTGCGCAAAGAATGGTAACCTTGTTCATATGGACTAGGGATTTAAACCTGTGTTCTATGGGGCTGTTGGCCAGATTTTAACTCTTAGGTTTACCAGGGCAGATCTAAAACCCTAGAAAATATGTGAACTATAAGTGGAAATCCTACTACCCCCTCTCCTAAGTCACATTTTCTCTGCTGCTGGTTGTAATTTTTCAGTTGCACTAATATCAGAATTAACATGATTGAGTGAAGACAATATATTATAACATTATGAAAGACTCTAGGGTTCCAAGCCGCGTCAGGTGGCTGAATGGTGAATAAACCATATCTTCTGTCAATGTTTTGAGAATAATCTCTGCTCTCATCCTCAGGGCTGCTGTGTAACAATTCTGATCCTTTGTAGCGCACTCACCAATAGGAACTGAGCTTGTTACGCAGCAGCCTGAGGATGAGAGTAGAGATTGTTCTCGAAACATTGGCAGATGTGGTTTATTCACCATTCGGCCACCTGATGCAGCTTATAACCCGAGAGCCTTTCTTCAACTTCAGTCCCATGAAAGCTTCACTTTATATATATTATAACATGAAGATTTCTCTCTTCTGGGTTGTTGCGCTGTGTAGTCTGGTCAATGTTAACCAACGTTTCAGACGTCATACTGCCTCTGTCATCAGGGTCATTCATTGCCCTGATAACGGAGGCAGTATGACCTCTGAAACGCTGGTTAACATCGACCAGACTACACAGCGCAACAACCCAGAAGAC